TTAGCTAAATAATATTTATGGAATACCCGAACCTAGATTATTAATTATTAATATATTAATATTATTTGTCCAAACCTAATTACGAAGCATGATTTTTCGCCAAATATGATTCCGAAGCACCAGAAGCAGCCACGTAGGCTCAGCGCATTCTGCAATTATATATAGGGAGGATTACATTTTCTTTTCTTATTCAATTGATACATCAATTCTTACAAATGTTTTTTCTTCTTATTTTTCAATTTTATAACTTTTTTCTTTGTATTATATTTTCATATATGATATATAAAAAATTATTTATCTTTTAATGACATTCGATTTGACATTCATTTATATATATGTTGACCTGAAGAAACTGGCCCACAAAAGAGATTAAGACAATTCTCATCCAATGGGCCGATTGAAGAAACTAGCCCGCAAGAGAGATTACAATGGTTCAGATAATCAAGATATTCGATTTTCGATTGGCAGGCATCATTTGAAAGCTTGAAGGGCGAGTTTTTTTAACAAAATAAATCTTATGAAAATCCAACGGTCGAATTTTGGTTAGTAGCCTAAAAAAAAGCTAACTGTTGATCAGTAGTTTTCTAACTACTGATCAAAATCCGAACATTGGATTTTCATAAGATTTACTCCTAAGAAAATAGGTCCGACAAGCTTTCGAACGATACCTCCCAATAAAAAATCAGATATCCTAATCATCCGAAACTTGAATTGAATTTTTTTTATACATCCTTGTTCCTACTATGTATCAAATTTAGAAAATTGACAAACCATACCTCATTTTGTTCGTCTCGTCATGAGCTTTAAAAGCCCTAAATCAACTTTAAAAATAAGTTTAAAATTTATCATTAATTGAGTTTTTTTTTTGTCATATTAGGGTTTTCAATCAAACAGATAAATTGTCAGTTTTGATTATTATAGAAGGCAAATTGTCAAGAAAAAAATATGGTACAACGAATTCTAAAATCAACCATACTTTGGGAGATTAATTTTTTTTCCTTCTTTTATTAATTAAATATATCCAAGACACTAACACAACTTAATATTTTTATATATTAATCATTATTATTTTTATTACATTATCTTACATTAAAAATTATTCACTATTCCACTAACTCTATTCAACACTTTTCTTTTTTTTTTTNNTATCAATTAAAATATATCCAACGAGAGGATGTGAACGAAAGTAAACAATTTTGCACAATTTCATACTAGCAATTGATAGAAGTTTCCATGTCATGCGCGAATAGCAAGTGGAAAAGCAAAGAACCGTTTATAATATATTTTGATTATAAATATAAATTGTATATAATATTAGATCATCATGTAATCGTTCGAGATAGTTGATCTAATGTTACAAACTCCAGCGAAATAGTTCTAAAACAGGACGATAGTATTTCCGTCGAGATTTATAACTGTTAGATCATCATGTAACATCCAATAGTTTATCTAGAGGTTAGCACCTCCCAAAAATATAATAAAATGGTGATTATGCGAGTTCCAAAAATTTGAAACGCTATGAGTGTCGATCATGCATTAGCTTCCCCGATCCCCCACCTCCTCATCACCAATCTCCACCGCACACAAACTGCACTTCACACACCACAACCTCTTCCGGCGCCGGAAACCTCTTCTTCCACCACCGCCTACTGAAAATGAGCCTGGCGCCCCTGCACGCTGGGTTCTTGCTCCCACCGTCCGCTCTCCACCGACGGACCATCCCAACCCGCCATTACCATCGCGCTCGGAAACGCCGCCGTCTCAAGCCCCTCACAGTCCGGAACCAGTTAAACTTCGAACCTTCACCTTTCGGCGACCTCCTCCACAGCATGCTCTCCCATTTCCCCTCGGCCACCTCATTCAATTACATCGCCCCGGCCCTCGGCCTCGCCTCCGGCCTCGCCCTCCTTTTCTCCACTGGCTCCCATAAATCGCTTCCAAACCCTAAAATTTCCAGGAATTCGGATTTCGACATCGGGGAGTGGATCTTGTTCACCAGCCCGACGCCTTTCAATCGCTTCGTGACGCTGCGGTGCCCTTCGATTTGCTTCCCAGGGAGCGAGTTCTTGGAGGATGTGAACGAGAGGCTTGTGAAGGAGGACAGATATTTCGTGAAATTGAACAGTGGAAGAATGGTTCAGCAGGCGAGGGCAGACAGCGAGGATGGCGGGAATTTGGTGTATCAGAGAATTTGTGTTGGCGCGGAGGATGGTGGAGTCTTGTCATTTGATTGGCCGGAGAATTTGGTCTTTGAGGAGGAGCATGGGTTGGATACTACGATGTTGATTGTTCCAGGAACTGCAGAGGGCAGTGGTGAGAAGAAAATTAGGGCGTTTGTTTGCGACTGTTTGAGGAGAGGGATTTTCCCGGTTGTCATGAATCCAAGAGGATGTGCTGGCTCTCCATTGACAACAGCGCGGTTAGTTTCTTCGAATTCAGTACGAATTATACGGCTTTAAGTCACTTGGGGTGCAATCGTGTGTGTGTGTGTTTTTAGATACAGAGGCGACATATTTAGTAGTTTCAGATAAAAGCATCCCCAAGCTCAAAACTTTAGTGGATTGTCATAGTACTTGGAATGAAACACCCTCGGATAAGGCAAACGGCTTATGTCTGGTTTTGATGTTAACTTCTATATGATGCCATGGTTTAACATATAAAAATACCAGTAAGCTTGGTGACATGTGAAGTATATGACTACAGAACGAATATCTTGCTTACTTTGGGCTGTGATACATGAAGAAAATTTGATATGATACTAGAATTGTAACAGCAGGGAATCAATTCAGCCAGAACATTGAATCTTTGAGTGTTCTTTGGGCTTTATAACTAGGAGTTATTACGAGACATATTCTTAAAAATGAAGACGTAGAGAGACTTGATATGATGCATATTATTGTTTGTTAAATATTTAACAGAATCTGTTGACCTGTTTTTTTTGTTTCTTTTCTTTTAACATTTCGTTCATTCTTCATGTGTCTTGAAGATTTCCACTGTCCACATTTAATGGGCTTGGTTTTGATTTGCTGCTTTATTATTAAAGGAAGTCTCCTAGTCAAAGCTGTGTGGAGATGGAGCTTCATTCTATAATTACTTTATGCTATATATCTTCAGAATGGCACCAACTGTTAGCTTGGGTTTTTAATGCTTAGAATCACAAAACTCTGGGGTGTGGGTTCTTAGGCCCAGAGTTGAAAAAAGAATTCCTTTATCGTCATATTACTCCCTTCTGTCATGTTTAGATTTCTTATCAGCCTTTTCAACTGCTAAATCTTTAACGAGTTTTGAGTTTTACCACAAATTCTGTTCTTTTAGTGCTCGGTTGACTAAATATAATGTTACTTTTTTCAATTAACTTCAAACTAAGTAGATTCTTTCATTCCTAGACTGGTAAAACAAGCTGATAATAGAACGTTATAACTACTTCATTTATGTAGGTTATTTACAGCTGCTGATAGCGATGATATCTCCACAGCTGTACGTTATATACACAAGAAAAGACCGTGGACAACATTAATGGGAGTTGGCTGGGGGTATGGTGCAAACATGTTGACAAAGTACTTAGCAGAATCTGGAGAGAAAACGCCTCTTACGGCAGCAACATGCATAGACAATCCTTTCGACTTGGAGGAAGCCATGAAGTCCACCGTCTATCATACAGATTTTGATCTCAGACATACCAATGGCCTAATTGAGATACTACATCGTAACAAGGTTATTTTTTCTACTAAACATTTTTTTCCTTCTTTTCTTCAAGAAAACACACATACGATCATGTTTCTTGTAGAGAACTTTTGTCCTGTAACTGAAACTAGCACCGAAAACGAATGAATTTTGTATATCATCAGTTGAACTGACCCTTTCATCTTTGTAATTCTAATACCCTGGCATCATCATCTCAGGAAATATTTCAAGGTCGGGGAAAAGGATTTGATGTTGAGAAAGCTCTGTCTGCATCGTCCACTCGGGAGTTTGAGAGAGCAATTTCTATGATTTCTTATGGATTTGATACCATTGAAGACTTCTATGAAAAATCTAGTACACGAGATGTGGTTGGACGGGTGAAAGTTCCAGTTCTTTTTATACAGGTTCTCTCTCTCTCTGTCTCTCATGCTATGCTGCCTCTCTCTCTGTTAGTCTCTCTCTCTCTCGCTCATGCTATGCTGCCTCCATGCTAATAAATTTAATGGCTCTGTGGAGATTGTGTTAGTTATTAATTAGTAATTTCTTACACATTAGATATTTATGATGCTCAATACTCTTAAAAGTTGATCAGATATGGCATTGAATTGGGTATGTTGTGAATGCAAATAGCTTTTCGGAATATTTGGAAGGAGAATAACAGAAATATTTGTCGATGTATTAGATATGATTGTACATTTGTTTAGGTACATGTAGACATATTGGGTTACCTTTTAATATTTCATAAGGAGGTAGCTCTAGTAATTAGAGATGAAATTCTAAAATCTTTCCTACTTCTTTCAGATGTTTATTTATCTGATTTATTACTCATGTTCTTCTGTTCCAAATTATGGGCTGAACATGAAGTTGAGATGAGTTTCTTTGTTTTAATGAAGTTTTATATTAAATTGTTTCACTTATTCACATTGATGGCTGCCTTTTGGATTTTATTCTATATGTATACATAAATATTGTCATCACTTTATTCGACATTTAGAATTTCACTATATATGGAAGCTATATATGTCTATAACAAGCTGGTGGGAATCTACGAAATGCTTTTACATTATATTACCGCTGTGTTCTTAGATGTATATATAGCCATTTATGACCCGTAGCTTAACCTTTATTTTTTGAGCTACGTCTTTGCTTTGTTCTGTCAGTTATCATATATCCGTCTTTGTGCCTGGTACATCCTAGCTAGAGATTGTTTATACATACTGCTCTTTTTCCATTGTTTTGGATGTTTAGAATTTGCATAAGGTAGGGTTAGTAGTTGTTAGATTTAAAAGGAACATCTTGGTTCCACTTCATTTCGATTTCTTTACTGATTTTATATCGGCGTGTAAGAACTAGGAAGAAGCTCCATCGAGAAACTTGGGAAACTTGATATCAGAGCAGTACTACTATGTTGTACTATGCTGCTGTTGTTTGTTCTTCTTTCTACACTTCTAATTTCCCGGTAGAGTTCTTTATTATTTTCAAACTTATTTAATTACTATTTTTTTAATTTCAGAATGATGATGGGAGAGTCCCATTGTTTTCTATCCCGCGGAGTGCAATAGCAGAAAATCCATATACAAGCTTACTTCTCTGTGCATATCCACCATCTGCCAATGTTATGGTTGGCATATCAACCTTATCTTGGTGCCAGCACCTTGCGTTGGAGGTATTATGTTCTTATTGTTTAATCTAAACTATATTAGCACAATTTGGTTGTGACGCTCTCATATGGCAACTGAATATCTTGTCTACAGTGGCTAACAGCTGTGGAGCTTGGACTTCTAAAAGGTCGACATCCACTTTTAAAAGATATTGATGTCACTATAAACCCTTCAAAGGGGTTGGAGCTGGTGGAAAATAGAGCTTCAAATAGAACAAAAGTTGACAAGCTCCTCGATTTGACTAATGGAAATCCTAAAAACCCTCCACTGAAGATGCTTCAGGCGAATGACACACCTACTACTGCTCAGTCAAGATCTATGAAAGATATAGAAAAGCCACGTTTTTCGGCGAAAGGATTTTCACAAGAGGATAATGACATAGGGAGACTACCCAATGCTGCTGTTGATGTAGTAGTACAAGAGGGAGCGAGCTCTTCCGAGGATGAAAGAGGACAAGTTCTGCAGACTGCACAAGTGATTATGAACATGCTTGATGTGACTATGCCTGATACTCTGACAGATGAACAGAAGAAGAAGGTAATTCCATTTTGTTCTTATGCTAGAGGTCATACAAACTTGAAGTTCGATGCAAGGAATCTTTTTTAGGGAATATTAATGACCCAGGGAGATATTCATATAAAGTTGATTATCTGCAGGTGCTTAATGCTGTGGATCAAGGAGAGACACTAATTAAAGCTTTGCAAGATGCTGTGCCAGAAGATGTTCGCGGAAAGCTTACAACTGCTGTTTCTGGAATCTTACAGAATCAGGGGTCTAATGTAAAATTTGATAAACTCCTAAGTCTTGGAAAAATTCCTGACGTGGCATCAGGACTGAACTCAAATTTTACTGGACCGAAAACAAATGATCGTGAAAATGTTGGCACTCTAGATCAAAAGAGTGCGGTTGATGACCCTGGAGATGGACTTGGTCAAGTTGATCGTGGCTCTGAGAAGCCTCTTGATGTAGAAAAGCAGTCATCAGAGAATTTACGAAGATCAAATGATACAGAGACACATCAACCTACCAGTAACCTTGGACTCCATGGTTCTGATTCTGGAAAACTGAACATAAATGATGCTGGAGGTTCTTCCGACGATGAACAATTATCAGGGGGCAGTGCTACAAAAATTTCTGACAGAGGAGATGTGCCGGAAATAAATGCTAATGAGGAGTCTTCCAATATAGAAGAGCCTGGTGGTGGGGCTGATAAAATTATCGCGGACCACAAGAAAGAGGAAAGTGAAAACTGTAAAAATGAATTAGACTCAGTGGAGGAGAATATCAAGCAAAAAACTGATTTCTCAAATGATCAGAGTGAAATGTCTGAATCTTATGTAACAGAGGATAAGTCTTCAGCTCCAAGCCCTGACGCTGAAACTGAAGGGGTCGAAAATAAAGCAGAAAGCAATCAGAGGAAGGAAGATAAAGGTCTCACGCCTGTTTCAAGTGAAGGTAAGGGTGATTCTCCACGCTTCAGCTTCTCTCAAGCATTGGATGCATTAACAGGATTTGATGATTCTACCCAAGTTGCTGTTAATAGTGTATTTCATGTAATAGAGGGCATGATTGATCAGTTGGAGGTGGAGAAGGACAACGTAAATGACATTAGTGAAGTTAATGAAGTAGACAAGGTAAAGGGACTGCAGCATGCACCTCATGAGCACAATCCTAATAGTACTGAGACAGAAAATATCAGGGGCCAGCATGAGGCCGAAAATAAAATTAGCCTGGCCCAAGCACCCGGACAACTTCCACCAGACAATTCTTTAAAATGCTTGTATAGCAGTTCCAAAAATATCCCTAGTTACACATCAAGTATTTCATCTGGAGATCCGATTTACAGAGAGTACCTCAAGAAATATCTTCATCTAAAAATGAAGAATGCACAACACTCGAATTCTGGTGAAGTGTCTGCTTTGTATCTAGACTACATTCCAGAAGAAGGTCAGTGGAAGCTTTTGGAACAGACACAACAGAATAGTGCTTCTGTTGATAAACATGCAACTCATGCAGGTGGTTTTAGAGAATACCTGACTAGGACACGTCCTAGATCTAAGGATAGTGATGGTATTGCTGAACCATCTTATGTAATATTGGACTCTGTGTCACAAGACCAAAATGAAGAACTAGAGGAAACGGATGCTGGGAATGACAGTACTGAAATTGATGATGCTGAATATGATGAATCCCATCTTTTCATCAAGAATCTTATATTAGAATGTTTAAATATTGAAGTTGGTCGTAGAGCGAGTGCTGCTGACATGGAAGAACTGGAGGTCAAACTTGCCAAAGAAGTCGAGTTTGTTGCAAATGCTGCAAAATTGGCGTCAGAGGAAGCATCACTGCGTATTCGTAAACGGAACAACAATCCTTCAGAAATGCTTGGCACCCTTTACGGGGAAAACATAATAAAAGCTATTTCTTCAGCTCTTCAGGAAACTCAGTATCTTAGAAGAGTGGTGCCTGTTGGTGTCGTTGTGGGTGCTAGTTTAGCAGCGCTAAAGAAGTTCTTCAACGTTGCTACATCAGTTAGTGATGCAAACCTTGTGAGCCTTGATCGAGTCGATAAATTGACAAAGAGTCTTGTTGGAGTAGAGGAAAAGGGTACGGGTGAACACCTTCTGAGCAAAAGAGAAAAAAGCGAGAATATTTCTACTTCCGTTGATGAGGGAGAAGATAGGACTGATCTTGAAGCTTCAAAGAACAAACACGTCATGGTTGGTGCTGTCACTGCTGCTCTTGGGGCATCTGCTTTGCTTGCTGATCAAGCGGTAATTCAAACAAATATTAATTGAATAAATATTTTAACTAGGTGTTGGAAGTTTCGTTTCGCGACTATCATGGGATTCTCTGTCCCCTTTTTGTTTTCGCTCATGAACTTGGTGGATTTTTGCTAGACTTTGCATGTTACTAATTAACTGCACATTCCCAATGAATGCAATCTGATATTCTTTGCTTGAGAAATTTAGTATATATTATGCACCAGCTATGGTGTTCAAAGACATTTTGCTATTTATCTGAATTTATTTTCACTTTAATTTTTCCGTTAGTTTTAACAGCAACTTAAAGGCTGGGTATGCAAAATGCGAGTTGTTTCACAGTGAGGGTACTGAACTGTGAGAGTTAAAATGTGGGGTATTGACATTGAAATTACCCATGACTTGTGGTACTGATTCTGCTTTTTTTCCCTATTTTCTAAAATGGTAAAAAAATTATTTTCCTGCAAGATTTCTGAAATGCTATTAATATGACGGTCTGTCTATATATTTATAGATACTTATGAATTATGATATTGATACCACGTGATAAATTATACACTATGCTTGTGTATGCTCATGTAAGCAACAAGCATCCTATATTAATCAAACAATTTGATTGTAGAATAATGGAACAGGCGAAACTTCACATGAGCCCCTGAAAGAGAAAGGGAACAGCAACAGGCCCTCAAAGCTAAATGAAATGCATGAGACAACCCAGAACAACATAGTCACAAGCCTGGCAGAGAAAGCAATGTCTGTTGCTAGTCCTGTGGTGCCTATTAAAGAAGATGGAGAAGTGGATCATGAAAGGTTGGGAAGATCTATTCATTTATTTTGATATCTTCTTATGTTTTTCCCCTTTAAAAGTGATTTTCTTGAGAAGGTTTTAAATGTTTGGCTTCTTGTGATAGGTTGGTAGCCATGCTCACAGAACTGGGACAGAAGGGGGGAATATTGAAACTTGTTGGCAAAGTAGCTTTGCTATGGGGTGGCATACGTGGTGCTATGAGTTTAACTGACAAACTCATCTCATTCCTGCGCATTGCTGAACGCCCCTTGTTCCAAAGGTAAACTGATTTATTTAAATTTCTTGTATGATATGTCATGAGTCTCCTGACAGAGTATATGAATTAGTGTTGTTCGAAAGAAACATGGGACAGCATAGAATGTTTTGTATTTGTATTAACGTGTGAATTATTTAACTTAATGGCAGTTTGATTGTCTATATAGTTAATGTTAGACGATGACAAAATGGTATATTTATTTCTCAAAACAATCGTGCAGATGATATGATCAATGTTTTCAGGTCGGCTGGTCGAACCTGGTCGACCACGGACCGACCAGACGATTAATCGTGATTAATCGTCGACCAGCTAGATTAATCGGGCTGCCTCCTTCCTATATATATCCTAACCCTAAGAGGCCAAACAGGCCAAGCCCAGCAGCCCACATACCAGTCCAAAAAGACAAATATATGTCCTGGTCGTCCATATGCCCTGGTCGGACGATTAACCGCAATTAATCGACGAGTAATCGGACGACCAGGTTTCTGGTCGAGCTGGTCGGGTCGGACCTCCTAATCGAGCACTTGGGAGCGACCAGGACGATTAATCGCGATTAATCGGACGACCTAAAATCAGGGGATATGATCGTTTGATGGTGACTGAACATTATAATTCACAAATAATGATTATATCATGAAAGGAAATTCTCATACCTCATATATAACAAGCAAAATAATTGCATGTTTTCTGCAATGAACTCTGTTTTAAAAAATTTCCTTCAGTACGGTAATTTAAATGATTAGTTGGGTTCATCATTTCATTGTTTGCCATCCAAAACTAAATTATATCCATACGGTTGTGAAATTTTTAACTATGATATGATGTGACACAGAATTTTTGGCAGGTAAAATAGTAGTGTTTCTTAATTGCGCATCCCTATCTCCCCAATGAGCCTAAAGCCATATGCCAGAAGTTGAAAATATATTGTATCATTCATATGCAAGCTCTGAGAAGGAGTTCTGTATTTTATAGGTCTTCATTAACCAAGTAACGTGTTACGTGTAGTAATCTTTGTAAGATGATCTTGGGTCATAGTGTTCTACGACATCATTTGTTTTCTCTTGACATCAAATGCATATTCATCACAGGAGCTAGTTCGCTTAATAAGTAATTAACATTTCTCATCCTATAACTACAGAATCGCCGGCTTTGTCTTCTTGGTGTTGCTTCTATGGTCGCCTGTTGTTCTTCCATTTCTTCCGACCCTTATGCAAAGCTGGACGACACAGAAACCTTTTCAAATTGCTGAGTTTGCTTGCATTGCTGGCCTTTATGTCTCTGCTATGATAATGGTGACACTGTGGGGCAAAAGGATTCGCCAGTATGATGATCCTCTACTGCAGTATGGACTGGATATAGCTTCAGTTCATAAGGTATGAATTTGACTAAAGACTGCATGCAGGACCAAAAGCCTTACAGTTGTGTTTGTTGCACTGGATAGTTGTTTGTCAAATTTTAACATAATTATGATTTGGGAGGCAAAATTGATTTGTGATTGCAGAGAAAAAAAAAAAAAAGATTTTGCAATGAAAAGAACTCACAAACCAAGACCTGTTTTCACCAAAAGTATAATGTTTTGTTTAAATGTTATACTAAGGAATGGGAATCCTTATATTTTTGTAACTTCTAGCAAAAATACTCAAATGATGTGTTTTTTAGGAGAGGAGGGAGAAAGTATAATTTGTATGACCAATTTCACTGGTGCCCCAGTATATATGCCGAAGTGAAATTGTACGTAGCCAGCAAATTTTGTGAAACCACACATGAAGTTAAGCAATTCCATTCAGATCATTTTGTCACAATCCTCAACTCTATAAAATATCTCACATCCACCACATCTTTATTTCCTGTCTTCTTTAAAAATAATATATTCTAGTCCATGACATCTTAAAATAACTTCAATAGTTGTGATTCTTTGCCTTTAGCTGTCATTTCGAGACCACAATCTAGTAGGTAATCTTATTCGCTGCATTAGTAACCTGACTTACCGTTAATGGTGATGGTCATGCTTTCAGTTCCAGAACTTTCTGAAGGGCCTGATTGGAGGAGTCACACTTGTTGTATCGATACATGCCATGAATTCCGGAATTGGATGTGCCTATCTGTCTTGGCCAACTTCTCTAACTTCATCACCTTCAGAACCTGTAGCACTGATTAAATCCTATGGGCAGATGCTTATGTTAATTGTTCAAGGAGTTGCAACGGCAACTGGTGTTTCAGTCGTGGAGGAATTGCTCTTCAGGTCATGGTTGCCTCAGGAAATTGCTGCCGACTATGGATATCATCCCGGAATTATTATCTCAGGACTTGTGTTTGCTTTATCTCAAAGGTACCTTGACTCGTGATGTGTCTACCAATTATGGATTTAATTGTGTTGAGAATATGCATGCTAAAAAAAAAGAAACTACTCATAATGCTCTACTTGCTTCCCATTAGATTTGAAGTGTGGGCCCCTAGTAAGGAAAGACCCCCACCCCACTAGGGCACCAAAACACATACACGAGCGTGCAAACAAAGTGAGAGAGCCTTGGGTGCAATTGGATTCAATATTTCTTCGAAAGTTTTTGTTTCATTTGAAAGTGAGATGAAAAAGTAGTAATTTTTGGTTTTATAAATAGTGACAAATTAGAGATTGTGAATGGATATGAGATAAAAATGTAATGATTAACGTTGATGTGAGTGGAAGAATAATGTTTTTTTATTAAAAATTAAATAGCAGTAATTATATCAATACAATTAAAAAAAATCACTATTACACACATTTCCTCATAAAATTTTCTATTCATCCGTTCACATATTTCTAACCAACAATCATAATTATACTATTTTTTCATCTTACATCAGTTCGCTTCTAAAAATAATCAACTGTCCCCCAAATTCTTTTTTCCCTAAAGAAAAAATTCAACTGAAAGCATATCCTATATTACCCTACTCTCTTATTGTAACTTTCTTATTTTGCAAATAGAGTTAACTTTAGTATTTTGATGATGTTATTTTGTTTCCCTGTGCACTATATGACCGATCCACTTATTCATTGTTTGTAACTTTGTTATGTTATGTGAATCATAAGTTTTATTGCTTATAAATAAATCGATAAGACAACAAAGGAAGACATGAGAACAGCTCTCTCATACCTAGATACACACTCTTACATGGTGCTCTATTTTGATCACACTCGGTTTTTCCCCCGAGCTTCTGAATTTGTGCATCCATTATGTTTCTTACATCATTAATTGCTTAATGACTTATAGGTCAATGTGGGAGATCCCAGGGCTGTGGTTACTATCTCTATGTTTATCTGGGGCTCGACAAAGAAGCTCGGGAAGTCTTTCACTGCCAATTGGACTACGCACAGGGATATTGACGTCAAATTTCATCTTAAAAAGGGGCAATTTTCTGTCCTATCAATCCAATTTTCCTCGATGGGTCACTGGAAGCCACCCTTTTCAACCATTTGGTGGAGTGGTTGGTCTTGCCTTTTGTTTGGCTTTGGCGGTTATTCTTTATCCTTGTCACCCAGTTTTTAAGAAAAAGGCAACCAGAGTCATCAGGAATTGATTAACAGTCAGCTCCTTTAGCTCGTGCACAATCTACTTTTGATTGCATCCTCCCGTCAGAAGTTTGTATCAACGAGTGAAAGGATCTGAATAGAAGCAGTTCACATGTTATGGCAGCTGCCAACATTCAACTTTTTTAATTTCAATCTTTTTCCTCTCCTTTTAGGGGAAAAATGTACATTGCCAATATATAGTAGATAGAGAATGATGACCAAAGGAGAGGAAATACTTAAGACACTGTTATCGCAAGTTCTTGTAGCTCTCAGGATGATGCAGCTCGGGTATTTTAGAATTCTGTAAGCAGCAAATTTTGAGCAGAGTGATTTGTAAATATGCAAAAAGAAAGGATTCATGTATAGAAAGTTTTACTTAAAGCATTAAGCTGTAGACGGCACTAGCCTACACAGAGCGTTTTGTAAAAAAACGCTCTATTTGTACATTCGACACGATTATAAAGATGATAAGTTCAGGTTCAGAATATATGAATGAAACTCGCTTTTGAGTCGATTTTCTGAACTGTGACTCAATATTTGTGGTTGTAGCAAGTTTCGTTGATGCAACATTGAGAAAGTGGTAGATTCACGTATACACAAAGTTCCGTAACGGAGGAAGGTCGCGTTTGAGGTCATGGGCAGGGCCACCGCCTCGTGCTTTTCCGGTGGGGAACTTTGTGTGGGTTTGTGTGGGTTTTCTGATGACCGTCATTGGTTGGTGGTTTTCAAGGAAGCTAGTTTCGATATTTGAAGACCATTCTAAAATTTATTTTCTTTTTCCCTTATTTTTTTTTTGTCTCGTCTTTGTGATATGGTCCGAGGTGAGCAACTCCGGTCTTTCAGAGGGTTAACGCGCTAAACTCGCTTTGGTCCAAGTTCGAATGTTCGCTGGTACTTACGACACCCAAGTTAGTGTCTCAAATTAGAGAGAAATTGTTTGTAACGAATGTAACAATAGTGTATTAAATGAAGTCTTACTTCTGACGTAGATCGAAGCGTACGATAGGAAGAAGAAGATGAACTCAAAAGAAAATTTTATTTCAATCGATCAAAAACCAAGTTCAAACAAATGAGAAACCCCACATATAAATAGTCTCCTAAACTTATCTCCTTATTTTCCTAAACAAAGCATAATAATATTAATTATCGTAATCAAATAAAAAACAACAATTAATAGGAAATACTGGATGCAATAAATAACTACTAAACTCGGAGTCGATCGTATCTCGCCAAATAAGCCAATGCGATCTTGTCGCCATCACCTTCCTCTGGTTAAAATTAAACTTATATATAGTGCTTAACTGTACGGACTTCCCTTCGAGACCATAAGTCTCCGAGCATATGTTGACCGGGCGTAGCTTAATCGACGCTCAACCCATCGGCCCGAATGGCCAATATTCAGCCATTTTGCTCGGTCGAGCCAAAAGCCAACGATCGACCCTTGGGCCGTTCGACCCGTGAGTTGGCGATCGACCCTTGGGCCGCTCGACCCGAGGCTTTATAGCTTGGCGCAGTCGAGCCGAGGGTCGTCAGCGGTCAACCCTCAATCCGGTCGACCTTCAAGCCGGTCGGCCAAGACTATGTTGATTTCGGTTTTTAAGGTTCGTTTGGCCCCGGTTTTATGGGTCTTTATCCGGTTGGCCGGGTCGATACTAATATCCCTATCACTCTGCCAAAATTATTTTCTGCACACATAATTTCCACTAAACACACGCACAAACAAAAATTCAACTTTAGTAAATTGAATATTGTAAATAGAAATATTTGTGCATGATATTTTTGCGATCAGGAAGTATTTTTTTTTTTTGGTTTCATTTTTCCGCATGTGAGATTCGGGAAGTGACAGTTAACACGGTTACTTGAGCTTGCCAACAATATTGCACTTCCCTCCCCAAGTTTTCAAAATTTTACATTTGGGCCCAATAAGCTGTCATTTTACCCAACTGGAGATAAGCGTGTTATTTTAGCCGAGCTGACAAGCTCATATTCGAGCTTGCGGACTTTTAATAAAAGAACCAGATAGGCTCAGCTCGTTTAAAAACCAAAGAAAGCTCGACTCGAGCTTGATTTGTTTAAATTTTTGAAAACGTCGGCTCAACTTATATGCACTGTTTGCGGGTATGATATGCTCGTTCATGAATAAATGCACCTCGACTCTTCACTTAAAACCCATTAAACAAAAAAAAAAAAAAAAAGATTGAATCTTTGCGAACAAGTTCGTCTCGGCTCAGGTTCGACCCAGCTCAGCACCAAATTTTATATCCAAATCAAAAAATTAAATTTGAATTCTCGATGGTCACAACCAATTCTAATTATGATTGGGAGCCGATGGTCCAGCAATTTTTCTAGAAGGGCCCAGAAATGGCCTGCTTAAACAACGAGTCCAATCCCGGAGCCGAGCCAACAGGCTTAGTGGGTCAGTCAATGGGCTGGAACCGGCAAATTGGCGGTCCGACGGCCTGTTGGCCAGTCTCTATATAAGTAATGAAATATCTTCGCCACCAGTGTCGTAACGACGAAATTTTCAAATTAGTCAGTTGAATTTTTTGGCGCTCCAATGGCATAGATCTACCCGACCCGCTGCCGTCTGGACCAACACAGAACTGGCTAGACCAGATCATTTATTTTTTCTTTTGAATTTTTACATATAAATATCCACTTCAACATTCATTTTTTTCACTCAAACTTTTATCTTCTCATCTCTCTGCCCCTCTTAGCTCCCCTATTATTTTAAAAGTCCTAGTAGTTTGTTAATTTGCATTTGTTCATTAGCAATTCTTATTTATTTATTAATTTCGGTTATCCTATATTAAGCACATTTTATGCCCACTTGCATAAACTAAGTCATAAAAATGTTGAGTTCTCGTGGTCATGGAAAAAGTACGACGGCGGCGGTCGATGCACGAACACAAAAGCGAAAATGTGTAGCATCAACAAGTGGTAATCCATCAATGTCAGTACCATCTTTTGGCGACAACCATGTTGGTGTCGAGGACTTAAAAGGAATTGTTTCGAGCTGTATATGAGAAGAAATCCGCTCAACTTTCCACTTTGGCGGCTTCAGGTCGGCTGCAACTTTTGTCATCCCATATCATCACAAGGCACTTCATAAAGATGAAGGATTTAGGAAAAGATCCCAAGACCTATCATCGCATTTTGCTTTCCAAAGAGAAATTCGTTGTCCGAGCCTCAACTATGTCAGTTGAACAAGCATGTAGCGAGAAACGATACATTCTTGACACATGATGATCGAGATTAATACCATGGAACTTAGAGGCACAAATGTTGCTCAACGATGGAAAAAAAAAAAGGTGGAAATAAGAGAACAAATGTTCATAGGAGCTGAAGATGATAATAAAGAGTTGGATGATTTGAGTACTACTAGAACAGGTAGAATTGGGTCCGACAAGAACGGCGACGACAACTAGAATGTTAGACTCATCGTCACGTATTCTAGGTAAGTAAGGTATACAAACGACGAGAATTTTCAATTTGTGTACCATACAATACTGAAACATATTATAAAATTTATTGATGGCATGAAAAGCCAAACAAAAACAGAGTAGAAAAGGAAAATAACATAATAAAGTATTTTGAAGGGCCACAGCCCAGTAAGCCATTCATCAACTGAAGAACCAACACAGCAAAAGTTAGAATAAAGAGCAACAGAAACCAAACAAATGCCCAAAAAATAAACTATCTTATTTAGCCATCTTCACTTCATAAGCTCCATAGTCCCAATATTTCATCACTCCTCTGCCCTTGGAACAGCATCAGCCTGAACAACACAACATACATACATGCGTACATAAACCGTACAAATTTAACCAAAAATTTCTAATGCAACAAACAATTTTGCATTTCGAACTCACCAACTTGCGATACTTGAGCGCGTAGAACATCTCGAGGTACCGCCTTATCTCCAGACGATCGAGCTTCGAAACATATTTCCAGAACCCATAAACACCGGCCAACGTCAACAGCCTGTCCGAATAAATTTGCCATGTATACCTACACACAGAGAGTAGAAAATAAGCTCATAATCTCGTCTATATATAATCGTTAGTGTTTATATTGGAATATCGAGTTGTCCCGCATTGATACTATAAAATAAATGGTAAATGTGCCAAGTTTATAAGCCTAGTGGGCACACTATGGTGCACTTAGACCCATTGTCTTATGGTGGGTTTCACTTGCGTGGGACCGCACTCTCTTGCCCGATTTTATATATCTTACAATAAACAAAATCTTACTTTTCTTGGATACGTTTCAACCCACCAGCCGAGATCCTCTCCCAGTGACCAGGATCCTCCTTACACCTCTCAAAGAAATCGACAAGAGTCTGGGCCACCTGTTCCCCATTGTACGGGTCAATATGGAAGCCCGATACCCCATGCACGATGATCTCAGCGGGCCCACCGTGCAGAGTGGCGAAAGTGGGCAGCCCGCACGTCATGGCCTCGACCACAGTCAGCCCAAAGGCCTCGTAAAAAGCGGGCTGCACGAAAGCCCCCTTCGTGTCGGCAATATAACGGTACAGCTCGCCGTTTCTAACACGGTTCATCTGTGACGAGATCCACCTGAACTGCCCGTTCAGCTTGTGGGTTTCGATAAGGTCGTACATTTTCTTCATCTCGGCTTGCTCCTCGATGTCCTTCGACTCCTTGCGCCGGTCCCCACCAACCACGACGAGGTTTGCGAATTCTCGTAGCCTCGGGCTCTTGGCGTAGAGCTCGACTAGGCCGGTTAGGTTCTTGACTCGGTCGAGACGGGCCATAGTGAACAGGATGGGCTTCTTTTTGTCCTTGAGCACACACCTATGAGAATAGAAAGGAATTAGATTAAACATATATAAGAGGTATTTTTGCAGTCAATCCATTGATAATGAAGACTTACAAATGCTCCTCATTTTCAACGTCGCTAAAAAGAAGCTCCTCGATTTCGGGGTGGAGAGAAGTTAGTCTCTTGTCCTTGTCCGTGTACGGGAAGTAGAGATTCATATCAGCTCCCGGGGAGACTATGTTGAATTTCGGGTCGAACACGTCAATTCCATGCACGACACGGTACAGACCTGGCATCGTGAACGCCATGTGGCTCTCATACTGCCCCACAGTGTCCTTGCTGATATCACAAAGTAAATCACAAAATTAAAACACGATAATAAGCGACAGAAGAAAAAATATAATTAATCATGATTCTTTTTTATTCGGTTACCTTCCAGCAATCTCTTGGAATGTGCTGGTTATGATGAAGTCAGTGTGGTTCATCGCGTAAAGGTCAGCAGTGAACTGGCACGAGAAGTGGTACTTATCGTCAAACTTTTTGAGGTAGATATCGGAATCCGGGTACTTGGTTTTCTCAAGTGCATGGGCAATGGTACACTGTGAAGAAAGCAGAAATGATATTTACAATCAACACCAATATAACGCGATAATTACAGACAACTCCCTTAAAACAGCAAAATACCTGTGTTACTCCTAACTTGTGAGCCATCAAGGAGGCTGCAAGATTGCCCTCACTGTAGTTTCCAATTATCAAATCTGGCTTCCCTTGCAACTCTGCACTAATTTCTTTGATAACATCCTATGAATCGAACCAAGAAAGTTGATGTTTTCGGTATAGCATTTGCAGAGGGACATGTTATGCTAAACAAAACTAGCAAAATCTAGATATTTTTTTTTTTACCTCGGTGAAAGTCTCCATATACGGCCAAACCTCAAAACGTGAGATCCATTTTCGAACAATTCCCTTCTCGGTCCTGAATGGAACGCGAATGATATGCGAATGCTCGGTTCCAAATACTTTCTCCAGCCTTTGGCCGCAAGTGGTTCCTACTGCATCCGGCAGCAGTCGAGTCACCTAAAAATATAAATAATAACAAGAAGATCAATTAAAATCATTAAAAACACTATTCAATATTAAAACCTCAGATTATTTAAGCAAGAAAATATGAAAGGCATCGATCGGGACTAACAATGAGAATGCGAGGCGTGATATCAAGTCCTTGCTCCTTGATACGTTTCAGCATCTCGCGCTCTAAAGCAGGAACTTGATCCAAAATGTAGACAACCTTAAAACAAAACAAAAGAAAAAACCATCAACCAAATTTCTCGAGGGGTAAAAAAAGATGATAAATTTCCATTTATACATACCTGGCCACCTGTATCGGGATATCCCAAGACATTTTCTTGGGCGAAATAACCGTGTGGTGAAAGAATAACGACATTAAAGACCATAGGGATTCTCCCGAGGAATTTCTCGAGGGTGCACGAGTCGGGAGCTTCTAGAAGGTCGAGGAGCATGGAGATCATCTCCGAGACCCGGCCCGCATTGTCCCCCCACCCTCTCTCCAGCCCAATCTCCTGAAACTTGTGCTCGAAATCAGAGTAAGGCGTCTCGGGAGGGAGAGTCGAGAGGTACTCCTCTGCTTTCCTCAGGACACCTTGCAGTGAGTTAAGGTTTCGTATTCTATCGTTCAACATCATCGTCTAGCATTATCACAACACATACAAAAAAGAAAAAAAAGAAGAAACACAACATTTCAATACAAAAGCACACATTATAATAAAAAACACATTTTTCTCCTAATTAACATTGAATTTAGTTCTAAAAAATTATAACCTTGCCCTTGTAGTGGTGTGTGCGAAGGAAATCGAGAAGAGGGGCCATGCTCTCCTTGTCATGGAACATTTTGGCGGACAAATGGCGGTTGAGAAACTCGACGCCATTTCCGATGGACTTAGTGAGGGTCGGCTTTGGGAAAGAAGCCGTGAACGGTTCGAAATCCAGCTCGAGAACAAAGTTCCCATTAGCACTGCCAACAAACAAACAAACAAACAAACAAACAAACAAACACAAGATTCTTAATAAAAATTATTATCGAAAATCTAGGACAACATAGAATGTAAACAAATGACAATTCGACAAACATACGTTCCGTTAACGAGCTCTTCCTTGAACTGCAGATATTCGGGCACGGTGAGTTCCTCGACAGCAAGAGCATTCACGTTGACTCTAACATATTCCCATACACCCGGACGAAGGCGAATCGCAAGCGCTACCCATGGCGGCAAAACTATTGCTTCCTGATCATACAATTAACTATTAAAAATACCAAAAAAAAAATGGAATTAATTTACTTTGATTTGTTTATTTATTTTTACCTGAGTGCTCTTGAGAAGCTCTTGAAAGGCATGATCCTGCAGTTTATCCTTGTCAGCCTGGCAAATTGCTTCAAACTCAGCAAGAAGCTGGTGAGGCTTCAGGATTCCCTTACCATGGGCTTCAATCCTATTACAATATACAAGTAAATATTTCAAGTGGGAAATGCTACAGTCCGTTACAGAACCATTACGTCGAGTTTGCAACCGTTAGATCATCATGTAACCCCGTCGGGGGTAGTTGATCTAACGGTTACAACCCGACGGCATGATTATGTATAGTAGAAACTCCCTATTTCAAGTATTACACACAAAATTTAAACTTTAAGAAAAAATGTGAAACTATTTTAACAAAATGATATATAAAAAGCATTAAAGATAAAATAAAATAAAATAAAAATGTTACCTTGATAAGAAGAGTAAAATTTCATTGCGATGAGCAGCCAGGGTGGCATCCAGGCGCTCCCGGAGGCTGTGAACACGGGTTAGCACGTGTTCCGCCATCGACTGATCGGTCGATTATTCGTTCGAATATTAGCAAATTTGATCAAATTCAGCTGTTGTGAAGATTCTTGCAAGTTAGTAAAATGAGATGAAAACTAACCAAGAATTTCACAAAGTCTACAAGTTTGACAATGTTGGTTCAAAATCTATAATAACATATTGAAAAAAAAAAAAAAGGGTCTTTACCTACTACTTCTTGATGTTTAGTGCAATGACTTTGAACACATTTTCATGAAGTAAAATAAAAACTTTTTATAGACTGTAAGTGAGAAAAATGGATAAGGTAAAGAGTATGCTTGAGAAGCAAGAAAAAATGTTAGTAAATTAAATTATTACATGCCTAAAAATAAAGAAGGCTATATTTAATGAGAAAGATTACAGTATCTGCTTTATTCAGTGCTAGTTTATTTATTTATCATGAAAATGACATTTTCAGACAATAAAGTCAACATTTTTCAGCAGACCCCATTTTTCAAAACTGTGGATTGGTTGGACCCTTTAATAAAAAGATTTTTTTTTTTTAAAGAAAAAAATAAAATAAATTAACAGGGCTAACTTTTTGAAAGATCAAATTTTTGCAATGTGGTAGGAACTAGAGAGAGAATGATATATTATAGAGAAATGCTACGGTCCGCGCGTTACGGTATCATCCCGTCGAGTGCTTTATCCGTTGCATCATCTATCTTATCTAACTACATGTGGATCCAACGGTTAAAACACCCGACAAGATGGTATCGTAACGGGACAGTAGTATTTCCCATATATTATATGTACAAAAAATTATATACTTTTTTCTCACCTGACTTAGAAAACAGAGCAAACAGAGGGCAAGAACCAATGGGAAGATAGGAGAAAAATAATGAATTAACGCAACAAAAGGGACAAACTCAGTGGAAAGAGAGAGAATGAAAGAGTTTGATTGATGATGGAGACTGAAGCAAGAAGCCCCCATTATATATATGCAAAAAGAGGGCAGATGGCACTTCCCAAAAAACCATTGTCGGTGAAAAAACTACACACACAAATGGGTTAGCTATGGTGGTTTTGGTTTAGAGACAAAAAAAAGCCTAGTTTGGCAGATGGCACTTCTCATTCCTTCTAGTAGATGGTTTTGCTAAAATATATATACAGTGAGAATCATAATAATGGGAGATGTTACGGTCCCGTTAAGGAACCATCTCGTCGGGGTTTTTTTAACCGTTAGATCAACTATCTCCGACTGTTACATGATGATCTAACGGTTACAAATCACCACGGAATGGTTCCGTAACGGGACCGTAACATTTCCCCGTAAATTGAATATGTTTGTTACATTTAATTGTCTATAATGTAAGTTTTTATATGATACTATTTTATATATAAATGCTATTATCTTCATAATATTGTTGTTCTTTAAAAATAAAATCCTAATGAAAAATAGCAACAAATATTAAAAAAATAAAAAAAAGAAACAATACTACACACTATTAAAAATAGCTTTATTACATTAACATTATGAGTTGATTTTTATGTGAACCATGTTAGATATATTAATATTTTTTTTTATTTAGTAAAACCACTTATGGTTATCATTAGCAAAACCCATGTTCTAGATTTGGTTTTGATCTTGATATATAGAGAGAACAGTGGGTAATCCAGTGGACCCATTTGTTTAATTATGCTTAATGAAGATTATTTTCTTTCTTTTATTATTTAATCTATCCACTGTGCTTGCTAAGGTACTGAGTTACTGTTGGGGAGTATAAAATATTGTCTTACATGGATGCATGTGTATTTTTTTTTTTTTGCTTTCTCACATAATAAAGTACGTCTTCAATCTACAATGTAAGAAGAAGGACAAAATTTATGCTGGTGTGCAAAATTATGTGTACAAAAATGTGGTGGGCGCGGTGAAAGTTGAACCTGTGGGCGGTGAAAGTTTTTCAAAGTTTCAACTTGAGCCATCTTTCTGGTTTCACAGAATCATTACTGCCGCTGCGTGGGTCATAGAATCGATCTATGTACGTAAATGTTATATTATATTTATCGATTGACCCGTTAATTGAGGACGAGCGCGAATGAGTGAGGAGACGAGTGATGCAACTCTGACGAGGCGAAGCAACCGCAACTCGTGGTCATCGACGCATGTGGACGTCGTGCGCATTTCGGCTCGCCCGCTGACAGCTTGTTGCCAGTGGCGGGCATCGTCAAGTCGTGTGTTGGGACGCTCTTTGCAGCCGACGGCGGTGTGGCAGGGGCGGCAGCGATTTCTTCGCACATGGCTCATGAGGTGGCTGCGTGTAGCGACATCGTGCAATCAGTGGTTGCCCCAGCGGTGGTGCAACGTTGGCTCTGGTCGTGTGCGTGCCTCGCTCCCTGCAGTTGACAGATGAGACGTGCCCGCTAGCGCGTGCGAAGAATTCGGACAACGGGGTTGGCCGCACGTGTTTCGAGCACGTGTGTCGTTGCCCTGGATGACGTTTTTGCGCGCCGCAGTTGGGCACAGAACGTCGGCGGCTGCAGCGTGCTCCGGAGACGACGATTGGCTTCAGCGCGAGCAATGACCCGACAGCGCGAAATTTCCACGTCGATGACTTTTCCGGCGAGAACGACGGTCCGACAAAGACAGCGGCGGCGGTAGCTTGTTCGGGAAGGAAAGTGAGAGTCACATGGGAAGAAAATAAAGTGTTTAAATATAATTAAAGAAATTTTAAATTCAACGGCTTCCATTACTGGTTCATTGATAAAGTGATTAAGTTTGCGCGTTGTTAATGGGTCTTCTTCCCTAATAACAAATTTTAATTATAGTTCAGCAGAACGAATTTTCTACGGATGGTAGTAGAAAGTTACATCAAAAGCGTACGTATCATCTTGAGATAAGCGTGCAATTCTGATAATTGACTTAGTACCAAGTAATGAGTCTCACGTAATACTTTTCATAGTGGTTTCCCTGAGGAATCACTACTATTATTTGTATGGTCCAAAAGTGGGCCGACTATTAATCATGTGTTGAAAAATTTAAAAGATCAACACAAATAATCAATGGGATATAACCTTCCTCTTGCGACGGTGTGAAGCGTAGACCCCGACACTGAGTGGCATGCGAAGAATCTATGTTTTGAGGTATCGGTGAATTTAATAAATGTTGTTGTTAAAGAATCAATATTTAAGAAAAAATACTTTGCATTATCTCAGGAATTCAAAATGTCATTAAATCCTATGTCCATAATTTTCAACGAAATCAAACTTACTCATCCCAACTATATTGACTGGAAAAGAAACTTGGAAATAATGTTAACTACTATGGGGTACAAGTTTATGCTTTCTGAGGCTTGTCTGAATGTGCCCGGTGAAACGACAACGGGCGAAGAAAGAGGAGTATGGGAAGTAGAAAAAGACTGATGAGATGGAGCAGTGTTACATTCTAGCATCTATGTCGAACGTGCTCCAACATCAACATCAGTCCATAGGTTGTGCTTCTGATAAACTCTTCAATCTCAAAGATCTGTTTGGCCATCAGTCACGGTCTGCCCAACAAGAGGCTATGAGGGTGTTGATGAACACACGAATGCGTGAGGGTACTCTCGTAAGAGATCATATCATCGCAATCATGGCACAACTCATTGAGCTAGAGGTTCTTTGGGGGTTTTGTTGATGGGGAAACTCCGGTCGATATAGTGCTCTAGTCTCTGCCGAAGATTTCGATCAGTGTTGTTTGAACTACAACATGAATGAGTTGTTGTTGTCTCTTTCAGAGCTGCTCGTTGAACTCCACTCGACAAATGGCTTGTTTCGTCAGAATACTCAGGTGTTAGTCACTTAGCAGAATGAGTCTTTTTCTTTCAGGCCCAATAACAATAAGGGTAGGAAGAGGGGTCTGCAGAGAGCGACTGCACATGCGTCTGCGGCTGCTCTGCAGTCGACCCCTCAGGGAGCAGAGAAGCCGAAAAGCAAGTGCCACCGGTGCAAGCAGAAAGGATATTGAAAGGCCAAATGCCCTCCTCAAGAGGGGCATCGAATGTAAATATCTTGCATTGTTCGTAGAAATATGTTTAGCGATGTTATATACCTGTACCCGGTGAGTAGATACAGGAGTCACTTATCATGTCTGCAATTCATTGCAGGGGTTTACCAAGAAACCAACCGACTTAGGGATGGAGAGGTTACCGTCTACATGAGCAATGCCAGCAAGGCGACAGTGGTTGCAGTGGGAGACATTTATCTTTATTTCGGTTTAGGTACAACTTTAGTTTTGAACAATTGTCTTTATGTTTCTGGGTTAGAATAAATTTAATTTAGTTCATAGATTGATCATGAATGGATATTTTGTTGTTTTATAATAAATTTATTATTCGTTTTGGCAAGAAATTTGTTTGTGATGGCTCATTGGTTGGCAATTTGTATGTTCTAAAGCCAAATTCTCCCACAATGTATCACAAAAAATTACTTAATCTGCCATCTAATCATAATAAGAGGAAGGAACTTTGTGTATGAATCAAACTTATCTTTGGCATGTTAAACAAGGTCACATAAACCTGAGGAGGATACAAAGGTTGGCGGCAGACTTGCCTTTGGGGTCATTAAAAGTCGAGGCCTTTCCATCCTGCGAGTCCTACCTATAAGGTAAAATGACTAGACAAAATTTCAATGTTGACGGGCATAAAGCCAATGATTTGTTAGTACTGATTCTTTTTGATTTGTGTGGTCCTATGTCTGTCCAAGTGAGAGGTGGCAGTATTTCGTTACGTTCATTGACAATTACTCGAGATGTTGGATGTGTTTACCTTTTGCACTGCAAGTCTGAATGTTTCAAAAAAGTCAAGGAGTATAAGACATTTGTGGAAAAACAACTTAGTAAAAACATCAAGTCACTACGATCAGATCGTGGCGGTGAATAGCTTTCAAGAGAGTTTAAAAACTACTTATCAGAGAATGAGATTGAATCCCAGTTATCTGCTTTGGGTATGCCCCAACAGAATGACATAACAAAACAAAAGAATATAACTATTATGGAAATGGTTGAGAAATGATGAGCTATACTAAATTACCCGATTCATTTTGGGGATATGCCCTAAAAATAGGGGCTTACCTTTTGAACTTGGTACTTTCGAAATCAGTGCCAACTACACCCATTGAATTATTGGAGCTTTGTAGTCATTGTGTTTTTTGTGAGTGTCTATTTTAGTTTCTTTCTAACTTAAAGTTATTGAAGATATTTGGATCTGTCTTTCCATTTTTATGTGACTTTTTAGCTGACTCATTCAATTTTCGGCTATCTTTTAGTTTGTACCCTATGTGGTTTTATTATATATAAATTTCTATTTTTTCTAAAAAAAAAATAAAAGTTCGGCAAGGCGTCTAGTTAATAGCTAGCTGGAACATTTTAACGTTTGGGTCAACTTTTGAAGCATAATCTAGGCCGCTTTTGATTGATAACGGGCATTACTATTCACCGCCCCCCTTATTACTAGTCATCGCCCCCTTGGATGTTTTTTCCCTTCACTACTCTCTCTCTACTCTTTCCCTCTCGAGTTTCTACGGTTCTTTTGATCGCAAAAATACCATGACATCGACAAGATATTGAAGATTTATAATATTTTTTACTCTGTAAATAATTTTTAATATTTTTTTATTCTTTTTTGCGCGTCCTACCGGCAAGGCCGGGCACGCCAAAAAAAAAAAATAATTTAAAAATTATTTACCAAGTAAAAAAAATACATGGTCAATCTTCAATATCTTGCCGATGTCATTTTTTTTTTGGCATTTTTTTCGAAATTCTTTGACGGTCAAAAGAGCCGTATAAAATTGAGAGAAAAAAAGTAGAGAGGGTAGGGGTGAGCGTGGGTCGGTACGGTTCGGAGATTGATAAATCTCCAGAACCGTACCAAAATTCGGAGATCCCAAAATTTGATCTACGGAGCCATACCAAAAAGTCGGTTCGGTTCGGTTCAGAGATTTTTATTTTTCGGTTCGGTTCAGTTCGGTATTCGGGACTATTGAGACGGTACGGTTCGATATGGTTTGGTTCGGATCTTCAGTGATTTCTTATTTTTGTAGATTTTTTTAATGACTACCTAGTTATAATTTAATTTTTATATGCTTTATAAAACAATATTCATCAATAATTCATCATATTGAAGATTTTATTTTGAAATCAATTTTAGAAGTAACTCTAAATTTTAGTTATTTAATTTTTATATGCTTTAATAAAACCAACATTCATCAATACTTCCTCATATTAAAAATTTTATTTTGAAATCAACTTTAGAAGTAACTCTACATTTTAGTTAAGACTCAATTTGTGCAACTAATATTGAAAATTTAAAATTCAAAAAAAATTTAATTTTTTTTCTAAAAAATATTCTTTAACCTTTCATATTATTTTTTAAAAATTATTTTATAATAGAAAAATTCAATTGTAGATCAAATATTACTAAGCATGAAAGTTAAGTGAAGGTTAATAGTTATTATTACTATATTATATAGGATCAAAGGTGACATAAAATATATTAATAACATATCTAATGTTATAATTCAGTTCTTAATTTCTATTCTTCGATTCGATACAATATGGGATGGGACGGTTCGGTTCTCAGTACGGATATTTGTGAAATCTCCAGAACCGTGCCAATTATTTTTTCGGTTCGGTTCGGTTCGAAGAAAGTCAAACGGTCAACGGTTATTTTGGTTCGGAGTGATTTCGATTCGGTTTTCAGAACTGTTCAGATTCTCCGAGTCCCATGCTCAACCCTAAGAGAGGGTAGAGAGAGTAGTGAAGGGCAAAAATATAATTGGGGGCGGTGAGTAGTAAAAGAGGAGAGTTTTTGTGCAAACAAGGGTAAATATGTAAATGCGCTAATGGGTGTTTTCTTCCCCAAACGATTCTACCAAAGAAATATATTCCCTGCCCACGGTGTGTTGATCAATCTCCTATCGGAAAATCCCTAACCTGGAGCTTTTTATCAAGTTAAGCTCATATATTCACAGTGGTGTTGATCAATCCTGTTCAGCTACAAGTGTAGTAATGTCGACGAAGCGTAATCACAAGGAGAAGACCATACGCCGCCACTAGTATGTGTTTTCTGCAACCTTCAATCTTCTGTTTTTCGTTTCTTTTGCTCTGAATTGATTATGAATCTCGACTTCTAGTTTGTATGGTCTGGTATGATGGACTATCGAGTTTTATTGTTGTTTTCGATTCATGAATCGTGTGTTTGATTTCATAATGCTTTGGAAGTACGGTTGATTGATGGTACTAATCCTTTGTTAGGAGTGGAATTGTAATTTTGTTTTTATGTTATGCGATGTCTGTTTCATGAGCTTTTGGATCCAATTTCTTCAGTAAAGAGGAGAAACAGGAGGAGCCCGAGCATCCCAAGTACCGTGACCGAGCGAAAGAACGGAGGGAAGATCAAAATCCTGATTACGAGATTACTGAGTTGACATCCTTTCATGCTGTTGCCCCACCTGGAAATGTTGAGCTTCTGTGAGATTCCTTCCTCTGGTTACACTTATGTGAACTTTTTTACCTTCTAGTTTTTTTTTTCTTCTCTGTCTAATTCCAATATTTCCGTTGAATTTCGACAGCTCTGCCGATGCTCACAAGCTATCTATTGAGAAGAGCAAATATCTTGGCGGTATGAGTTCTTATGCAGCTAGCTAGTGATTGGTATCACCTGAAAATATGTTCTTGTGGAATGTGTAGCTGTGTTCTGGATCATGAATCATTAGGCACTTCCTTATGTGTTGGATCTCTCTATTGATCACCAAAATAATACTAGAGAACACCCAGCTTGCTCTGTTTTTATTACAGCTATCTTTACATCTTTTTAAAATGACTGTATGGCTGTTTATTATCTTGTAAGTGTCACCAACTACCATTTTTTTTGGGTTCCCTTTGTTTCTAAGTTAAAGAGTCTTTTTCTTGTTGTCTTTTGGGGGGTGAATGAGCACTAAAAAGTCTCGGCCAAGCTTTTAGAAGCTGAAATTGTTTCTCACTCTCTGAAACTCAAGCCAATGTCTTTCTATCTGTCAGACTCTCCTGCATGGATTTTGACTAATCCAACAGAGTTAGATTAACAAAATGGTCTTTTATGTAGACTAGCGTTGTTTTTTTTTTTTTTTTTTTTTTT